GGGGGAGAACTGGGGCATGGAAGAGATACAACTTATTATTAATACCAAACACAAGGTTGTGTTTTTGATGCACAGTGAGGCCAGACAATACCTAAATGTTGTGGTTTGGAGGGCAGAGAAAGGTTTATTGCAGAACCATACAAGAAGATAGGTGACTTGTGCCCCCTAAAGTCCCAAACTCCCCAAGCACTTTCGAAGGCAAGGTGAGGAAAGGACATGGTTAGCTGTTGCAGACTTCTTGGTGTTGGAACCCTTTGTGTTTGCAGCTGTCCACGTAGGTCAGGTCATGATGTTCCTATAAACCTCCAACAAGACAAATACTATTCTCTGTTCTGAAACTTTTTATATGAGTGGACTCTTAAAGGTTACAACCTTGAGAATGAGCTACCCTGTATATTTCAGACTACAGGTAACATTCTTTTACAAAAGGTGCAGAGCCAACATGACTAAGCACACAAAGTTTAAAAGAAACAGGTCTAGTATGGAGTCAGATGTGTTCTTCCCTATCACAAACTGAATAAAGGACAGTTAAAATCCATAGGAGCAAAGGGAATTTAGGTTTTTTTAAAAAGTACAGAGATTAATTGAAACTGGAGACTGTTTTTTAAGTCCTTTCAAATAGAAAGACCCTGTGTAGTCCATGGTCCAACTGAATGTTACGCATTGAAGGCCAAGGAGCAATGTGTTGGGAAGGGACCTGAATCGAACTTGGGCTTTTGAACACTGTTTCTGAGAGCATCAAAGAAAGCTATTCAGTGGGAAAGGATGTGACCCACGTGACCAGGATGCAGTATCGAGACCCATGGGTAGTTTCATTGAAAAGCCTTTTAATCTCAGCATGAAGAAGATGCTTGTAAGGTTCAGAAACCTAACCCCTGCCAGGGATGCGCTGATGAAAGGTCGCTGCCAGTATCACTTTCTTGGCATGGGGAGACCAAACCAAGACAGTCAGAAGGCTTAATCTATGTGGGTCAACAGCTACAGAGGGGAGAGGAGAATCGGGAGGCTCGTTTGATTGACGATAGATTCGACCGACTCTGCCACAGGAATGGAGGGGAGGGATTTGTATGAATTCTGAGGAGCCGTGCAGGTAGGGAGGAGTTGAGAGTTCTCTAGGAAAAGCAGCTAGGCCAGGTCACAGATCAGGGAGGGCCCATATGGACATTTAATCCGAGCAGGAGTCCAATTTTAAAAGGAAGAATGTAGATATAAAAAAACAAAAAAGGAAAAGTAATGGAAGAAAGGTCTTATTCCTCTTGGTAACTATTTTTCTAGCTAAGCCAATTGAGAGGGTTCATAGAAGGACACTGAGATTCACCGGACAATAATAGTGCCCAAAAGAGAGTCTTTCATTTCTAAGGATCAACTGGGATCAAAGACAGGATAGACAGGTCTTGTCTAGGCTTGGGAGGCGCCGCCATAACCCTTGAATATAAGCAAAGAGGACTTCATGCCGATTTCCTTCCTGACAGTGCAGGGAGACCACTGTGTCAGTTAAAGGCATTTACTTCATGGAATTTTAAGAACTGTCCCTTCTTCAAATGAAAATAGTAGTCAAAGTATAATAAAACCAAAGTTCTCTCCTTGCCTCAAATGAAATAGAAAAGAAGCCAGAAGTTGAGACCACTTATGAGATGAGAGTTATAACAAAAGAATTGTTGGAATAAAGAAAAATGTGTTTTAGCACCTTTTCTCTCCAACTACAACAACACATATTTTGTCTTTATTCAAGGGACAGCCCCACCCGCCTATTATGGTCAGTTTTCCAAACAGTGACTGCAAAATGAGCAAAGTTGTTTTATTGGGGCTTTTGTGCCACGGAATTGCCAAGGACCAGAAGGATAGAGCTAATTTCTTAGGAAATGCTGAGGAATTCTCGGCTCCTTAAATCTTTATTAGGAGCAAATGTTACGAAAGAGTGGTTTGCTACCCTTGCCTTGAGGAGCTTCCGTATTTCAGTACTTATCCTTAAGCCAAGTATCTTTCTCAAGACTTTCTTTATTTCCAAATTCAGATGAATAAAGAGAGTATCAAATTTGCTGCTTGATTACCAGGCAGACAGGAGGAATTTGGAGAGGTGGTGTGAAGTCACTCTATGTTAGCCTCATTTGTGGCTGAAAGTCCCTACTTGCTCCCCAGAGATGGGACACTAGCCTCTTGAACTTGCAATATCTGTTACTCTTTTATCTTTAATTCAAGAGGGCATCGAGAGGGAGAAGAACTTTAACTTCATCCTGTGTGTCTTTTCACCTGATCACTTTTGCCAGAAGATTCTCCCCCCTGCTCCTTTTTTTTTCTTCTTAAATTTGTCTATGCCAGGTCTTAGTAGCAGCACTCGGGGTCTATAGTTATGGCATGCGGGATCTTTTAGTTATGCCCTTTTAATAAAATACCAATTAAAGTGCATAGATCTTCCTTTTGCAGTGGGAGGAGCCAGGGCACTTGGGACAGGTGCTTCAACCAGAAGCTGGAGTGGGAACATGTAATATAGTGTTAGTCACTCAGTCGTGTCCAACTCTTTTCGACCCCGTGGACTGTAGCTCGCCAGGCTCTTCTGTCCATGGGTTTCTCTGGAGTGGGTTACCATTCCCTTTTCGAGGGGATCTTCCTGACCTGGGGATCAAACCTGGGTCTCCTGCTTTGCAGGCAGATTCTTTACCATCTGAGCTACAGGGAAGCCCCAGGGAGCAGGAATACCCAGGAGAACACGTGTCCTTGAGGACATTTTAATGGTGTTTGTAGCACTTTGGTCCTCAAACCAGTAGTGGATCCCTTTTGAGAGGAGAGAATGTGGAACAAGCAGACCTCAGTGCTCCCTGGGGGAAGCCTCCTAGTGGTGCAAAGTGTGTAGCCTCTTCCTATAGATGATATCTGAGCAGGGGTTTGTGATTATAAATGGAGCCTAGAAATGAGTGAGGTGGATTTACTGTAATTTCTCCCCAGTCGTCATGATCCTGCAGGGCCCCCTACCTAGACTCCTGTGCTAGGGAGAACTGTTCACGTTGAGGTGGGTGGCAGAAAGGCACCTGGCACCTTGTCTGCTGGGTTGTGGGTTCCTTATAAGTTCCACTTGCCCTTCCTTTCTTCCTTTCAGGGGGCCATGGTAAAACTCATAGGCTAGAGAGTCTGAGCTGAGTTATTTAGCCCCTCTGAGCCTTGGTTTCTTTGATGGTGATGGCATGTCCCACCTTAAAGCATGGAGGCAGGACTGAATGAGGTAAAACACGAGCCTGCAACTCATTGTGGATGCTCAGCAGGTGACGGTTACCCCTTCCCATTTTTGCCTTGAAAACCTTGCATGTATTTCTATCTGAATTAGCCTCAGAGGGGCTCATCAGTGCTGTCCACTGATCAGATGTGAGAAACGGTATTAAATAAAGCTCATATCTATTTGAGTAGACACACCAGGCTTAGTGATAGAAGTTAGGACATTTATTTCAGTATACAGTCAACTCTCTGCTATAACATATGTGTTCCTAGAAATCACCATGCTATGCCAAATCATGCAGCAAAAAACAGGGTTTATGGGAAGAAATGGGTTAAGGACATAACAGACAAAAATTTGTCAGTGACACACACACAAACAAGAATGTAATAGCATAGTAGCACACAGTTTTACACATGTTAAGTGGTTGAGATCATAATACCACAGTAAAGATGCAGGATTCCATGAGAAGACCTGCAGTTTGCTTGTGGAAGCAGGTACCTGAGGATTAGAACTTATTGAGTATTGTCGTGCTGTGGTACAGGAAGACGGGAGTTGTAACACCAGATGTGGGTGAGTGCGATATGTAGCGTGTCCCAAAGTGAGGTAGCCGGTAGATGTGTGTGGTTTTTTGTGTTCCTACACTACTGGGTTCAGCCCAGGGAAGTCTTCTGTGTTCATATAGTATGTTTAGAAGACAAATACATGCACAGCAAGCACAAAATTCACATCATACTCACGTTGTTTCCCTTAAGTATCAGATCACACTGGCATAGACCTGTGTCTTCAAAATAGGCGTTTCAGCAGAGCCGACTGTGCCACCTTCCTCCTGGCAGTACCCAAAAGTAGAAGTAGATAAAATCAGTGTGAAACATAAAGACTAAGGGGCCATTCGCATCCTTTATAAAATGGTAATCATTTTATAAATGAAAATAAATCTTTGCATCCCTTATATGTAGGTTACTGTATCCTAGGTCAGTGGAGTTACTGTCAGACTGTGTTGAATATGGGAATAACAGGAGTATGGGGATGGGTGGTCCTTGTCTGTATTTTGTGGTGATTTTGCCTTTTGGATCCATTGTTTGGATCATCTGCTACCTTGTCTTTCTGCCACTGGCACAGATGAGCCACCCTTAGCACTCAGACACAGAGACAGGGGTGGAACAGCCAATAAATAGCAATCTACTGTGTTTCTTGGTTCATCCAGATCTCTTTTAAAGACCCTCTGTAAAGGAGTCCTATATTTTAAAAAGAAATGTGATCTTGAATATATATGATGCTAGGAGAACAAGGGGAATTGTATGATTTATGACTTTGAGAGGTAATAGGTTACAAAGGCTGGAGGGTCCACGGGTGAACTTTAGGTGTGGGCGTCTGTGAATCCCCAAAACTGCACATATTTTTGTTGGTAAGTGCATTTTGCAGGGAAGGAGTCTTCAGCTTTCATTACCTCCCTAAAAGAATCTTTTATCCCAAAATGGCCAATAAACAGTGATTTGGAAAAATCCATGGGAATGTAGATTCATAGGGGTTATGTAGGGGAATTTAGCACTATCTGTGGGATATCTAATAACCTTGAGTCCATAAAGGGGAACTCTCATTGTTTTCTCAAGAAGCAGGCATGGGTCCCATTGTCAGGGACGGCGTGGAGCTAGTCTGACCAGCAGGTTGGTCTTGCATGTTGTCTTTGATGTGTCCTGTCAAATTAGTCACATCAGTGGTGAAGGACCCCATTGAACCAGGACTTAGGCCTTTCACCAGCCTGTCTCATGCCTCCCTTGACTTTATTTTGCAGATGGGAACAGCGAGAGCTCCCCAACGGGCGTGTCTATTATGTTGACCATAACACCAAGACCACCACCTGGGAGCGGCCTCTTCCTCCAGGGTAAGACTTGGACCATTGAGCCCCGAGGCTCTAGAGCTGGCACCAAGAGTCCCCCATTGGCTTCTCCACCACTCTGCCATGATCATCTCTTTATTTCCCCCACTCTCTCCTTTCTCTCTCTTTTCCCCTCCTCCCATAGTCCTCCTCTTCTGTGGTCTCAGCTCTCTCATTCTACTTTCCCTTCTCCCTCCATTCATTGCCTTGGCCATGGGAGTTCTTTTTTTTCTTATTTATTTATTTGACTGCACTGGGTCTTTGTTGTGACATGCAGGATCTTCGATCTTTCTGGTACACGTGGGATCTTTTAGGTGCATCATGTGGGATCTAGTTCTGTGCCCAGGGATCAAACTCAGGCCCCCTGCATTGGGAGCATGGACTCTTAGCAACTGGACCACCAATGTAGTCCCATGGCCCTGGGCTTTCTTAAATGATTTTCAGAGCCCCATGACTGTTGGGTTCTGGAGGAAGGAGGGCTTGGGAGGCCTCTGAGGCTGTTGGTCTCTCTGTAGCTTCAGACATCTCACCTGCAGAAATAACCTATAGGGTGCAGTTTTCAGTTTCAGCAGACGTAGCAAAGTATAGGGACATTCATCCTGGGTCCCTTAATTGCTTTTCCTACCCACTTTAATTCTGTTCTCATTTCTTAGGACATACTAGGATATTTAGAGCATCTATGGGGGGAATAGCGTGCACAAGGAAGCGTAGATAGGGTGTTGATGAGTTTTGCAGCGCCCTGCCTCCCGCCAGCCCCTGGAGACAGTGTGCTGCTGCATTCGGCTGGGCTTTGTGAGAACGCAGCGAAGTTCTCCAAAACCCAAGGATAAGTGAGGCTTCCAAGTAAGGGAAGACTGTCCAAGTTTAAGGAGAAGGGGTTTGGTTCCCTGTCTGCCAGGGACAGAAAGTTCTTTCCACATGTGTCTCCCAGTCCTAAGAACTTTCGAAAGGGAATGTATTCTGCTCTCAGGAAAGAATCACCAGTAGAGCAGCCCTGAAGGCCTGCTACGCAGAACATGAATGCTGACTTCCTCCTCCAAAGCTGGTGGAGGGAGAGGATGTCAGAGTGGGCAGGGAGAACCCTGTGCTTCGTTTTGTTCACCTGTCAGGCATGTGCTGGGCAAATAACCAACTCGTTTCCCAGTTCTACAAGTTTCCATGCATGGACTGCTTCTAGTTTCAGTTTCCCTAGTAGAATGCTTGTGTTTTCCTTTCCTTTCTTGTCCTTCTGGAAATCGCACTCATCGTCCACCATCCTTAGTTCTCACGGCTCCCCCTTCTCTTTTCTTAAATGAAGGAAATCTCATTTATTTTATTTTTTCTAATATTTATTTATATGGTTGTGTCAGGTCTTAGTTGTGTCACACGGGATCTTCCGTTGCAGCACACAGGCTCCCTACTTGGAGTGCCGGGCTCAGTTCCACGGCATGTGAGATCTTAGTTCCCCAATCAGGGATCAAGCCTGCATCCCTTGCATCGCAAGGTGGCTTCTTAACCACTGGACCACCAGGGAAGTCCCTGTTTTCTCCTTTGATTTAAAGTCCAAGGAACTTACCAAAGTTAAACGTTGACTTCTTAGAAAAAGAATTAAACATTTTATTATGGAAATTCTAGAAATGTTCATATTGAAGTTTTCAAATGTGCACAAAGAATCCCCACACTCTCAACACCTAGCTTCAATAATTATCAACTCAAGGCCATCCTTGTTTCATTTGTACCAGGAGTTGGCAAACTGTGGACCTGTTGGCAAAATCTGCCTGCCACCTGTTTTCATAAATAAAGTTTTATTGGAACATAGCCCCTCTCATTTGTTTACTTGTGGTCCATGGCTGCTCTTGTGCTCATTGGGAGAGCTGAGTAATTATGACACAGACTGCATAGCCAGTAAAGACTGAAATATTTACTTTGCGACCCTTTGTAGAAGACATTTGCTCACTCCTGCTCTGTCATCCTCTTTCACCCCTCCCCCACCCCATCTTAGATTATTCTGAAGCAAATCCCAGACATCATATTATTTTATCCAAATTTCAGTATACATGTCTAAAAGATGTTCTCTTTTAAAAGTAAAACCACTGTATTTTTAAGTGTTTACCTACTACCATCAAATACCGAGTCAGATTTCTGGGTAGTAGTCAGATTTCTCCAGTTGTCTCATCAATTAATCATCAACTTTTAACAGGATGTGTTACACACTTGTACTTTGTGTGTTTACAGCACATATAACTCTTTAAATCTGTTGGTTGCTTGCCTCTTAACCTCTCTGGTTTCTAAGTTATGGGAACCTTGACCTGGTGAACATATGATGAAATCTAAATGAAGATATTTAATGGAGTCTTCGAAGAATGGCTGAGGGTTTACTCTTGTTTAAGTGTTGAGGTGGGATACTAGAGCCAGCTTTCTTATTTTCAAGATAGTTATAATGATTTTTTCTTAGAAAAAGATTCATTTATTTATTCTTGGCTGTGCTGGGTCTTTGTTGTTGTGTGTGGGCTTTCTCTAGTTGTGACGGGCGTGGGCTACTCTTGTTGTGGGGCACAGGCCCTGGGTGCTCGGGCTTGAGCAGTTGCAGCATGAGGCTCCGTGCTTGTGATGTGAGGGCTTAGTTGCTCTGCGGCACGTGGAATCTTCCCAGACAGGAATCGAATCGGAGTCTCCTGCATTGCAAGGTGGATTCTTAACCACTGACCACCAGGAAAGGCCTGTAATGTTTTATCGGCTCGGCTCTGTGCCCTCTATGGCCCATGAGTTCTTCCTGAGTTTTAGGCCCTTTGAACTCCTGGCATTTAGTTCTACGATATAATAGGGAACCTGGAAAGAAGAGAATGGGCAAGCTTTCATCGCTAATTACTGGGAGAAGTTCTGCTCGAGGGAAGTGTTACCATGGTGAGAGCAGTCTTGAAACTACAGATGGAGCCACTGCGTCGTGTCAGCGCTCCTAGTCACCCAGGAGCAAGACTGCGCCGGAAGATCCATGTTGTTGTCCGTCCCCCGTCTCACCGATGGGACTCTTGTATAAAGGCCAGTTGTTTACATGTTTTATCCTCACTTTGAGAGTCATCATTCTAGTCAGAATAAAGGTTGAAATGCATATTGTTCTAACTTGTTCATAGCTTACAAAAGCTCTTGCCACTTAATAATACCATATACCATATTTGAAGGTTGCTAAGAGTAGATCTTAAAAGTTCTCTTCACAGGAAAAAAAAAATTGTAACCATGTGCAGTGACAAATGTTAACTACACGTACTGTGGTGATTGTTTTTGCAATATATACAAATATTGAATCTTTATGTTGTAAAGATAAAACTTAAACCGATTATAATGTTACATGTCAATTAGGTCTCAGTTAAAAAAAAAAAAAGCAACCAGTCATTTTATCTAGGAGCAAAAAGTGTTGGACCTGGTAATTCAGGATGAGTGCAGTGGTTTTTCTTCAGACACTTTTAGGTGTTCTCAGACCAGAGGTGAGCAGGGGGAGTAGGCACTATAGAGCATGGTGTTGGGGACCACTGTCACAGAGGACTCCAACTTGGTCTTTAGGAAAGGCTGGGGGTGGACTTCAGTGAAAAGAGGAAGGTGATCCAGGTTAGGGGAACAGTGTGAATGTGAAAGGTATATTTAGGGAATGATGCATGGGGCAGTTTTGGTGGAGTGGAGGGTTTGTGTGAAACAGAGATGACCAAAGTGTGTCTAGTAAGGCCCTTGGGTTTGGTGCAGTTGCCCCCTGGAATCGAACAGCATGAAAAGGCCTCAAACTGCTGCTATGTTTTTATCGATTGTAATTCTGCGTACGATTTCACCAGCTATCAAGGGTGTGATTATTCTGTTTGACAGTCTGAAATTTACCAGTGCAGAGGACATATGGATCAAACATGTTTATTTCCATTCCTTCTTGAAAACCCACTAAAATGGCAGTAAAAGTTATTTTAAAAAGTATAATGATAAAGGCATGGAAGAGGAGAAAAAGCATATGGGAGATTGTAATCAAAGTTTAGTTGCTGATGGATAAATGGTCGAGCTGAGAAAACTGAAACGCAAGCTTCCAGTGTGGGGTTTCTACCCAAAAGGCAGCCAGTTTGCACCATGGAGCCCTAGAAAGCCTCAACCGTCAGGGACATATAGGGTATGTGTGTGTGAATGTGTTATGCGTAACGAGACTAAAAACCTGAAGTTTAACACTTGTGCAGGAAGCAGCTAGATTCCTAGGTTGTCAGCCGTCACTCCCAACCCCCCGCCACACGCATGTGTGCACACTTACACTCATGCAGCCACATGGCTGCTGCTAGTGTAAGAAGTTCCTGGTGGAACAGAACCAGTGTGGCGAGCATGGTCATAGCTGAAGGCAGGGATGAACTCAGGAAATAGGGATTGAGAATGCTATCCTCAGGGAAAAGATTGGAAAGTTGGTTTGTTTTTTTTTTTTGCTGGGGTAGTGACAGGTAGCTCAGTTGGTAAAGAATCTGCCTGCAGTGAGGGAAACCTGGGTTCGATCCCTGGGTTGGGAAGATCCCTTGGAGAGGGTAACGGCTACACACTCCAGTATTCTGGCCTGGAGAATCCTACGGACTGTATAGCCCATGGGGTCACAAAGAGTTGGACACAACTGAGCGATTTTCCCTTTCACTTTCTTTCAGTGACCAGTCTAAGGGCAGAAAACTGCAGATCATGATATTTGAGGATCTTTTAGTGAAACAGCTGAGCAAATCCAGAAATCAACTTTTAGATGTTTTAGCACTCAGGTGTGAGGATTGATACAAAGCCATCATCAGATATGCAGGGTTTCAAAAAAATTAACTTTGGTCCATCCTCTCTCAGAAACTCCTAGCTGTTTTCTTCCACCAGACAAGAGGAAACAGAGAAAGAAATCATGAGATGCAGGACACAGGAGACTGACTCAGCTCAGGGGCCAAGAGGAGGATGAAAGAGGATGACTTAGGACAGGAAAGTAAAGCAGGCCTGGAGAACAACTGTCTGCCTCAGACAAAGGGTGCTGGACAGATGAGGCCAAGAGTTAAGTGACCTTGGGTGGCACCTGCCCTGTCAGAGTCTGGGGCTGAATTAGTGGCAGGTCCTTGAAGTCCAAGCCGAATAAAACATGCAGTTCTTAACTCTAGAGAAAAAGTTGTACAAGTAAGGATGTGTATGTATAGTATTCTACAAAGTTATAATCAAAACCCCAAATATTGATTTAATGATGCTTTTCTAAATTGGGAGGACAGGAAAGGAGAGAGCTTTGTGTGTGTTAGCCGGTAGGGTACAAGAACTAATTCTTCACTTTCGATAGTGGCAAGTCCATAGTAATCTCTGACTTGGCAGAAATCAAGAAATTATGGAGTAAGCATTTGTTTAGAAGATACAATCAAGAGCTGAAGGTAATTGTGCCCCCGGGGAGCAGAATTCAGCAGTGGGGAGAAGGAGGGCAGGAGACACTGGTGTTCATCGTCTCTCCCATAGTACTGTTTGTTTCAAACTATAGATACATGAGTCCTTTGCTAACAAATAAAAATAGATAAAGATCACCCGTTTGGAGTATTTATGAGAAAGGTGGGAAGGTTCCAGGTTATTGTGAGCCTTAAATATTAATTTGACATTTTGACTCCAGCATTTCATAAAGGGTCAGTCTGCTGGGGTTACCCTGATGGCAGTTTATGGGCTGGATTGCATGGGAAGGTTCATTCAAGGATACTTGGACTTGGAAAGTCAAGGACAGGGAGACAAAATAAAAAGAAGCCCTGGGGCTGAGCGGCTTACTGACATCAGAGGGAAAGGGAAAGTCAGGAATGATGGTGTGGTTGCATTTCTGGGTGGAGGGCTGATGGGAGGAAGACTGTGGAAGATCCAGGTGTGGGGCGAGAGCGATGGCGTTTAGGTGAGTCCAGAGTGATGGCTGGTCGTGAAAGCAAGGCAGTCCAGTGGGCGGAATCCATGCACAATCCAGGAACGGGCCTTGGGAGGTGAAGAGAAGCCATTTTTAGGGAGGCTTTCAGTTTGAAAGAATCATTGAAGAGGAGGCAGCAAAAGTCAGCTAGGAGGCTAACCCTGAAAGCTGAGGAAAGTATCAGTCAGCCCAAAGCATGATAGTCTTGTGAGTAAGATCAGAATTCAGAGATGGTGTGAGAAGGTAGTCAGGGAACAGAGACCCTCTGACACTTTGGAATCATCCAGTGTAATCCATTGTGGGTTCCTTTTGCACTGGGTGAATCCTGTTTTCTTCAGTAGTATCTCTGTCTTATCTTCTTGAAACACCTTTTCTCCCTCTTCTCGTTTCAGACTTATAATGGAAAATTCAGGCATATACCAAATTTGAGAGAATAGTACAATGACTCCCTTGTAACCATGGCCTGGTTCTGACAGTTAGTAAGATTTTGTCTCATCTGACCTCCCACTCTTCAGGGGAGGCGACTGATGAATTGTCAAGCAAGTCCCAGTCATCCTATCCTTTGATCTATAAATACACCTCATACGCCTCTAACAGATGAGATTAAAAAAAAAATCAGAATGCCATTATCCCAACATAATTAGCAGGACTTCCTTACCACATGTCACATGCAGTCTGTGTTCCGTTTTCCCCAATTGTATTAAAAACATTTTCACACTTGATTTGCTTGAATCAGATCCAAACTCAAGATCAGCACATTGCTTTTGGCTGATAATCTCATAAGTCTCTCTTAATCTGTAAGTTCCTTCAACCTTTTCTTTTTTTTATTTTTTTAATGACTATATGTTTGTTGAAGATCTTGGACATCTGTCATGTAGAAATTCTCACATAATGAATGTGGCTGATTGTGATTCCTGGTGTTGTGTTACATTCTCCTTTATTCCTTATCTTTCCTGGCAAACTGGTCATTAGATGTGGAGGCTTAATTAGATTCAAATTCATTTAAAAAAATTGAAATATAATTTACACACAGTGAGATAAACAGATCTCTGTTATGCAGTTCACTGAGTTTTGACAAATGCATACATTCATGTCACGCACACTCCATCAAAATGTAAAACATTTCTGTCACCCTGCAGAGCTCCCTTTCTTACTTCTTTTGATCACTTCTTCACCATATACATGGAAATCAAGCTACACCTACCAAGCACAGCTGAGAATTTTCACTCCCTGTTCTAGCCCTGCCTTGCCTGTGGATATTTTAGGGCCAACTTTGGAAGATCGCTTCCTCACTAAAGATAATGTGGAGAGTCCTACTGTCTTTTACACCAACTCTTCCTATGACCAGTCAATATATTTTTGCTGGCATCTTATGTCAGGACAATTTCAGTTGCAAGGAACAAAAATTGGGATCCAAATTGGCTTGAATAATGAAGAGATTTCACTGCCTCATGATCCTGAGAATTCTAGACATAGATCCTGGTTTCAAGGGAACCATGATCCAGTGATTCAAACAGTATCCCCAGGGGACTGGCTTTTTTCCCCCATTTTTTCTGCTCTGCCATCCACTGGGTCAACTTCATATTGGGTTTGGGTCCAGGATGTTAGCCAGTCCCAGGACTACATGCTTTCTAAATTACATCTGGCAAGGAAGACTATATTTTTCCCACTGTAAGTACTAAAAATTATGAGATTCACCCTGATTGGTTCAACATAGGTCACATGCCCACTCCCGGTCCAGTCAGCCATTCAACTCCAGAGTCAGGAGTATAGTCAGCTGCCCCACAGCCACTTGGATCTCTGAAATGGAATTCAGGGGCTGCTGGTAGAAGAGGTTGGTTGGGGCTTCCCTGGTGGTCCAGTGGTTAAGACTTCATCTTCCAGTGCAGGGCGTGTGGGTTCGATTCCTGGTCAGGAAGCTAAGATCCCACAGGCCTCGTGGTCAAAAACCCAGAACATAAGCAATAGAAGCAGTCTTGTATCAAATTCAATAAAGACTTTAAAAATAGTTCACATTATCTTTAAATGTAAAAAAAAAAAAAGAAAGATATTGGTTGCTGCAGGGGCAACCACAGATGATTCTAACATCATCTAACATCTAACAGATGACTCTGTTAGAATCATCATGGCCCCCAAAGCCTCCAAGACTGGCCCCCACCTGGCTCTGCCTCCCTGGAGCAGCCCAGTTCCTGGGCCAGACTCTACACCAGACCTTTACTTGCCATCCTCCTTGCCAGCCTGCCCGAAATTTCTCTTTGTGAGCATAGGGGTAAGGTGGTCACCGTGTTCACTCGGAGCTTGATGTTTTCAGCTGGGAGAAACGCACAGACCCCCGAGGCAGGTTCTACTATGTGGACCACAATACCCGGACCACCACGTGGCAGCGCCCCACGGCCGAGTACGTGCGGAACTATGAGCAGTGGCAGTCCCAACGCAACCAGCTCCAGGGCGCCATGCAGCACTTCAGCCAAAGGTTCCTCTACCAGGTGAGACGTGCGGGCCGGCCGCAAGGTGGCGCTGTGAAACAGGCAGCCTCACACATTCTCCTTCGACCTGTTCGGTTGAGTAGGGGAAATGGTGGGTAGAAATGCCAATGCTCTGACCCTGGAGATTTTACTCATCACAGCGAAATTTCTCAAAACTCCGGCATTTCTAACTTAGTGACTCCGTGTCTACTTCTGTGTTTATGGACTCAGTACCTGTGTCTGAAACCGAATTTCCCATCTTCATGCTGAGACTGGGTTTCTCTTCCAGTCCTTCCATCCACATCCATTTATCCTGCCTTGAGACCTGAAGGTCACTGTGACCTCTCCCATACCGCACCTTTTCAAATCAAAGCAGTCACCCAAACCCTTCCCTTTCCATCGCTGCTACTGGTTTTCTTTAGATCTTTATTATCTGACAGACTCTAAAAGCTGGAGGGACTTTAATGTTCACCTGGATCTGGGATGGGCAAACTCTGACCTCTGGTCCAAATTGGCCCCCATCTGGTTTTGTAAATTAACGTTTTATTGGAACACATGTACATTCGGTAGTCAAGGTTTTGACTGTGGTTGCTTTCGTGCTACAGTAACAGAGCTGAGTAGCCACAACAGAGACCAGCTGGCCCATGAAGTCTAAACTATTTTTTTATGGCCGTTTACAGAAAAATTGTATGGACCCACTGGTCTAGATCAACTTTCTTCTATCTGATTCCTGATTTTCTCCTTCTCCTGCCACCTTTAAGGTGAAGGCAGCCTTGGAATTGTCTCTTTGCTGGCATTCTCTCTTCTCTGATCTGTACTGTTTTGAGCAGAACTATCTTTAAATATCGCTGTAATTTTGCCACTTTTTAAAAAATCAGTGTAGAGGATTTAAGGGAGGGGGGGCTTTGCTCTGAATTGATCACTGGTTCAAAACCTTCTGTGGCCATTACCTTCAGAATAACATTTCAGTTTTCTAGTCCAAGATTCAGAGTTTTGTGGTCCTGTGTCTCTTTAGGAACCTTCCTTCCTGGGTCTCCGTCTCACTGGAGCCCTTCCCAGAAACCCAGTGCTTGGTGGGGAGCCTCTTTGACAGAGAGGTGGGATTCTCAAGTTATAATTCTGTGTTTTCTCTGAGCCCCTTGAATTTGAAGCTTGGGATCTGCAGTATAGAACCTGCACAAGGTGTGGTATATTGGAAGTTGGAAACTTGTTGAGCTGGTCTATTATACTACCATGTTTAACAAACGTTATTTCTATTTGAAATGAACTTTAACCCCACAACTCATGTCTAAGTGCTCAGAAAACCTGTAATTCCAGTTAATGGAATAGCATTCATCATCAGCTTTGCCATCATTTCCACCTTTTTCTATGTTCACCCAAAGCATGAGTCACCCCATCAACCATAAGGCATTGCCCTTGGCTGGCTTGTTACTTCTTTTGTTCGTGGGGGCTGACTGCTCACTGTATAGTGTTTCCTTAGTATGAATGAGCAGAAAGTCTGTTGTTTGTCACATTGAGTTGCCACCAAGGTCAGCTTGATGTCTGTCTACATCCGTGCCCCGTGGTGTGTACCTAGTTCAGCATCTATACTGCTGGGCATCTGGCTGCCCACTCCACAGCCCCTCTATATATGCTAGGTATCATATTCTGGTATGTTTCAAAACTGGGTGGAATCTGGCCCTTCCTTGCATTTCAGAAATTATTCCTCTTGAGTTGGGCTCCAAGGACTTTGCCTGCCATTTCCTTGGGTGGTCATGGCTGCAAAACTGGGATGGTCTGAGCAGCTTTGTCCTTTGACTTAGAGACGAGGACGCATTTTAGGAGCCTTGCATAGTTTTGTCTCCCTGCTTACCCACCTTCTCAAATTGAAAAAGAAAAATCCATTGAAGAGCTCTGTCTCCCCCTTCCCTTCCTACACACCGTGTGGGTTCTGTCAGTTGGCCCAGATGTTTGGTGTGTGAGAGGGAAGATTCTGGAGCTCATGTCTGCTTGTAGTTTTGGAGGCCTCATCCCCCTTCGCCTGCCTCTCTCATTTCAGCAACACCATTACGGGCCTGCAGAGGTAGAACTTTGACTTGGAGTGTGCCCTGAAAGTAAAAGTTCAGTGCTTAAAATAAAAAAGTTCAAAAAAAAAAAAAAAAAAGTTCATTCTGAGTCCTCTAATACGGTTTCCTCAGCATGGCTGGGGATCCAGGAGGGTTCTAGATGGAGTGATGATTCCCTTTTCTCCCTGAAACAAGACTCATGTTGAAAAACGTGGTAGGCCTCTCTTTTTGGTTCAGCTCGCAGTGTCTCTCTGTTGACTTCCCTCCTCTTTGGAATTGGTTTACCCCTCTTGTTTGCTGTGGTGCCATGTCCTGGTTACAAGTAAGAAGAGTCGCTTTCATAGAGTTATTTTGGGGTTTGGCCTTGGGCCAGGGTTTGACTCGGAAAACTTAAAGAGCTGATACTATAGCAGCGGCTTCCCCTCCTCCTCTTCCTCTGCCCCTGCTGCTGCTGGGCCAAAACCAGACCTAGTTCTTCTTTGCTGCCCTGCAGAGAACATGAACTATACAGTTTGACGTGGGAAGTCTAGGGAATCCCAGATGACAGCCTGCTGCAATTCCTTCCAGCCTCAACACACACCTTTTTTGATCTCTCTCTTATTGTTCCTTTACTTTTTAAAAATTAATTAATTAATTTTGTTTAATAAATTTCTTTATTTGACTGCACTGGGTCTTAGTTGTGGCATATGGGATATAGTTCTCTGACCAGGGATTGAACCTGGGCCTCCTGCATTGAGAGCACAGAGTCTTAACCACTGGACCACCAGGGAAGTCCCGATCATTCTTTTTTTTTAAAAAAAAATTATTTATTTTGGCTGCACCAGGTCTCAGTTGCAGCATGCGGGATCTTCAGTCTTTGTTGTAGCTTGTGGATTCTTTAGTTGTGGCATGTGAGATCTAGTTCCTCGATCAAGCATGGAACCTGGGCCCCCTGCCTTTGGAGCATGGGGTCTTAGCCACTGGACCACCAGAGAAGTCCCTCGGTCCCTTATTTCTGACATGTTTCCCTCTCTTGATGCCCCAGCGTGCCTTTGTTACTTGTGATCATCACATGCACACTTGTGTTTGACCCATGCCGTCTTGCTTTGCCATCTGTTTTCGTGGTCCTGCTGCCATCCGCAGAGCAAGCCCATCCCGTTGCTGTGCATCTTCTGATTGCAAAAGGACCCTGCTCACAGCCTGCTACCATTTCTGTGGCCACTCCTCCTCTGCCACCTCTGTCATCCCCTAATAATCAGAGGAGAGCAGCCAGTGTCTGCAAGACAGAAGCACATCACTCTGTGGCTGCTAATGTGTGGACGCCAAAGTGCTCTATCCAGAAACAGTGTTTCTTACTCCGTAAAGAGTCCCTTGGATCAAATTCTCAAGCCACCTGGGATTTATTCTGCGCCTACTGGTTGCATCCTTTAAAAAACAAGAAAGGAGCCTGCCTTCCATACTGTGTAACCTCTGTGCCCTCTCCAGAGTTTGTCTTGCCTTCGGCTGTATTTGCTAGACATTCTTTATTTCTGAGTTGGTGTCTTAAAATATTGCTGGAACTTATCGCTTAGTCCCTGTGGGACTTGAACTCATGTGAGCCCTCTGGCTCGCCGTCTGTACCCCAGTTCTCCCCACCCAGGGACGGTTACCAGGAAAATCATTCAACAGCGTTCTTCCTTTCTTTTCCTGATAATAAAGGAAACTGTCTTGGTCTTTTGGGGTCGCCGGCATACCCCAGGGTCCCTCTTCTGCCAGCAGTCTCCCCACACTCCTCTCTTTGTGCCCCAGGTAGTACTTGCGACCTCTCATTTCAGGGGAAGGTGTGGTAGAAGGCGAGAAGGGGCAGATGATTGGCTTATTGCAGCCATGGGATTTGGGGATTTGGGTTTGCTGGCCAGCAAATATAGATTTTAATTTTTTTAATGTCTCCTTGGCATCCTTTCATCTCCTCTAAACATTTTTCAAGTTGTACTGTATACATTAGGGAAGAAATATCTGAAATAATCAAGTGCTTTGCTTTAACTGTTAAGAGGTAAAATCATGAGTGTCAGCTTCCACTGACCCGTTTCATATATTTGCTCACAAATATCAGTCTCTGGCCTCTCTCCCTTCCTCTCTGTCTCTCTCCCCCTCCTGGGGAGGGGGTGATCTAATAGAATGAGAATGAGAGCATACCAAAGGCATTTTTCAAAAAAATCACCTGAATGAGAGAGAGCTGACATCGTGTAACGTTTCTGACATTAAAAGAAGGCAAAGGTTAAGAAAGGGGCCTGTAAATATTTTTTTTAAACTTTATTTACTTATTTATGCTGTAGCGTGCAGTATGCAGGGTCTTAGTTTCCCAACTGGGGATCACACCCATGCCCCCTGCCTTGGAATTGTGGTGTCTTAACCACCGGACCACCAGGGAAGCCCCAAACATTTTTCATTTCTAATTCAGTACAGGTCACAGAGGCTGTGAGGAAAGACCGTTTGGTGTGTTGATTTGTAGAGTTAGACAGGGAGATGACTGTAAGCCCACTGAAGCCTGGTTTGTACCAGTTGGGAGCTAATTTCCCATCAGAGCTCCTGGATGCTTTGCATATCATTTGTTTACTCTGAAAACAAAACAATAACAATAACAATAACACAGAAAACCCAAATCAGCAAAACAAACAAACAAAAAAAAAACAAAAAAAATTGCACCAAATGCTGCTGCTTTTAATTTCTTAAAATGATCTTTCCTGTAGTCCTTCCCTTTTGCAAGGATGTTCATTGCTCCAGCTCATTGCTCACTCACTGCTTTCTGTTTGGCTTCATTATCTGGAGCGCATGTGTGTTTCACAAGGTGGTTCCTTTCCTTCCTTCCCGAGTATAGCTACGAAAAAGTCAGAGGAGCTTGGATTTTTACGAGATGCTGACTCCCCTCACCCCCCCACCTCCACACGTACACACCAAAAAAAAAAAAAACCTCTGTGAATTTGGGAGGTGTTTTTTTTTCCCCAGTAACTGTCAGACAAATCTGAATTGTGGTGACAAGCGTAAGGTTGAGGGCAACGTGCCCCAGATCGAGGACAGCCTAGCGTCCCACTCTGTGGAGCAGTCTCACCCTGCCTCTGCTGAAAGGTGACTCCGTTCCATCAAGGGACCTGTGGTTTCCAGACTTAAACATCTTTGTTGCGACTTGATTTGGAAGAGTTGCCTGTGCCGCCAACACCTCGGAAAGAAAGTTGCTCTGTCCTTTCAGCTGGGGGTGGAAGGGGTTTCGTTGGCCGTTGAGTTCTACCAATGTTTTCTCAAGCCGAGACTGAGCTCCATTCATTCTCCTGCCCGTGTGTGGCTCCATAGGCCCCAAACGGGGCCAGCCAGTCAGCCCGAAGTCTGCACTGAGAACTTGATCCCCCTAACATAGCGATTAAATTTTAGTAAGTGAAATAAAAATGCTTCGGCAAGAAAGAGAGAGAGAGAAGAAAAAAACAACAACAGAAAGAGAGAAAGCAAGCAGGGAACAATACTTGTTTTATTTCACTCTGAAGAGTCTTTGACAGACCACCCCCCCACCCCCGCCCCTTCCCCGCAGGATATGAGAACTCTTGGGCCGCTGCAGCCTGGCCCCAGGGACCCTACAGCAGAATTAGGCAGGGGGTGGGGGGCTCTAATGTAAACAGTAACCCTCATGCCTGGAGTCAGCCCCCCCAACCCCTGCTTCTTTCTTTCTTTCTCCTGTCTCCCCTTCTCTCTCGCCACCTCGCCCCCAGCCCCACCTCCCCAGACAGGCGCCCACAGAACACTGAGCAACTTCAGGTTCAGGCCGGAGGAGAATAAAGGTGCTTTGTGAAGGGAAGCCAAGCGCTCCTGGGGGAGGTGAGGGGCCCGGGGCCTGAATGTGCCCTCAGTCGGTCCACACACGGCTGCTCCCTCTCCCTGCGCACCCAGGAGTGGGGTGGAGGGAGGAGGGCCCAGCCCCCAGCCAGGAAGCTCTGGGCGTGGGCAGGGCTTGTGGGAATGATTTCATTGGAAAGGCCTGCGATATTTTTTCCCCTCCCGTGTGTGGTTCTTGGAGAAAGTTGGAGGTGGTGGTGGTGATTTCAGTCGCCTTGGCCGCCCCGAGCAGGAGCTGAGCGGAGGCACCAGGCCGAGCTTGCGGGGCAGCCGGCTCCGGGCCCTCTTGCCCGCCTGGGGCTGGCCCCGGCCTCGGGCCTCGCGCCCTGGCCCACCTTCACCTGCGCTCCTCTCCCTCCCCCTCGCTGCACCCTCTCCACTCCCTGTCCCGGCCCTCAGTGTGCGGGGGTTCTCTCTGGGTTTTTTCCTTCGAAGAAGAAGAAGAAGACGAATTTGGAGAGGAGCAGATGCCACCTAAGGCCCCAATGTCTGCTCTGCAAAGTGCTGACATGTGGAAACTAGTCCTTGCCAGTTTTTATTCTGATCGATTGGTTTATTTTTATCCCGCGGCTTTTTTTTTAACCCCTGTGTTTTGCTGTGTTTCTGTGTTTAGTCTTCGAGTGCTTCCACTGACCATGACCCCCTGGGCCCGCTCCCTTCTGGCTGGGGTAAGTATTGAGTTCTCTGTTCTGGACTCTCGGGGCGTCAGCTGATGGTTCCATGGCGCTCTGTCCTCTTTCCCCATGCGTCTTCCTCATTATCCTGCCTCTCTTCCCCTGTTTCGACTCTTTCCAGCACACTCTCCAGGGAAGCCTAGCTGGAACAGTTGCAGGCGATGGGTCTGGAAGGTGGGGAAAATAGCTGAGTTCTCCTGCACCCCTAGAACACCTCCTCTGCCATCACTGCAGGGGCCTGACCCTATGCGAGAAGTCTCCCAGCAGCCATGGGACTGTTGGGTTGTAGTGCTAACTTTCAGGGTGCCTCCTCAAGAATCCATCCTATGTGATGAAGGCATTGTGACACTGGCTGATTCCTAGATACATTTGTTTCAGGTCTGTGTCTGTCTACTGAGACACCTTATGACACCTTTCTTTGCAGTTGAGATGATGGAGGACTTCAGCTCGATTTTGAATCATGGAAGCCATCTTTTTACTTGTGATAAATGGCTGTGAAAGGGGACAGAGGGAAGCAGATGAGAGAGTTAAGTGTGGGCTGCTGACATTAGGAAAGGACACCATTGCTAGTTTATAACGCCATGCTGGATTCTCCCTGTCACTGGAGAATCCCAAGTCCTTCATGCTGTTGGCCAGTAATGAGTTAGAGGGGTGGACAGCCGTGACCTGAGAGAGATGGCGGGCCTTATGACTATTTTGGGAAGGAGTGGCTGTGCCAAAAGCAGTCATGAGAGACAGTGGGACCTTGCGCATTCTGCAGCTCTGATCTGGGTCAGGGTTTTGTTCAGTATGTATGCCGAGAGTCTCTGGGAGCTGAAGAGGGCAGACTTTGCAAAGATTGGCATATGTAGGGTTTGATTTGTTTGTTAGGCCTGCAGGAGACAGTAGATGCTGGTTCGGTGGTGTTCACAGATGGTGTGAAGTTGGGCTGGGGTGTGCTTCCTAACAAAGATGAAGGAGCTGACAATGATAGGATGAGCATCGCCTGGAAAAGTGCAGCTTGTGAGCTGGATCCTGTTGATGCAGACGTAACTACTCCCTGGTTGTAATTTATGGGGTTACATCAACCCCATAGATCCATAGGGTATCACTTAGTCAATTACCACTGCATTCCAGGGCACTGCAAAGACCCTCTAGTCCTTCTAGTGGGATATATCTGTTAGTGAGGTCCCCCCATTTAGTTCTTGATTTTCAGCTCGGGGATCCCTTAGGCACACATGTGATCCACCTGACTCCCTGAAAGGATGAAAGGTCATAGTTCATCATTGTCTCAGAGATCGACGGCCAGTCAAACAGGAGAAGGTCAAATAGGTTCCCTGGTTGGGCAGGAAAGGACTCACCAGATGAAATGAGAATTGTGTAAGGCTATCTGGCAGACCCTGTGACCTACAGTGGGGATCCCAGAGTTGTTCCTGGATCTCTCGAGTCAAGTGGTTTGTTTCTTTACCAGTTCTGCTGAATGATGGTCACCAAGTAGGAGCTGCAGTGGGGTCTTGCGAACAGCTCCCAGATGCCAGGTGTGAAATAGCTGAGATGGGAATAGGAGCCAGGGCTGGAGTCAGCGCTGTTTTACAAATGATCAGGAAAACACACAAGCCCATGATGATGTGAAACTGAGAGGAAAAGGAGCATCTGGCCAAGGGCCCAGAAACCTTCCTGATGGAGTCCTCTGGGCTTTGTATTGGCTTCCCCAGGGCCCATCTCCCCAGGGAGAGCTAAGAGTGAGCAGAAAGAATAGCAGCACCAGAGGAGAGGTGCGTTTAGGGCAGGCCTGCTGTTGAGTATGCATGCTCAGTCCTGGGTCCCTTTCTGCTCCTCCAGCAGAGACTCCACGTTCTCCCCAAGCAATAACCCAGGGCTCCAGACACCTCAGGTTTAGATCCACGTCGTCTCAGCTCCTCTGACCCTGGTGTGTGACTGAATGCTCCTGAGTCCCTTTCTTCCTAGATGAAGTTGGGCTAGATTTTACCTAACGACTTTCCCAGCCCTCAAACTACCACGTTGTATGCAGCAAGGTGTTTCCCGTGGGCCGTGGGAGGCCCTCAAGTAGTGACAGTGGCATTGGCCGGCTGGACAGATCCCCGGGCTTGGCTTTGGTCCTTGGCCAAGAATACGTGGACAATCCAGTTCATAGCAGAAGCTTCTGGGCTGGGAGTGGCTCCGCCATCCCTTCACAACCTTGTCGGGAAGCCAGTCCTCTGTGGAATGGTCCCACAGGCTGTTCTGGGTGATGGGAGCTCTGTCATGATCCCAGGCACCTTCTTTTCTTTCTTTTCCTGTTGTCTGTATTTTTCAAATTGCCATCAAGTAGTGGATACCAGGTAAGGCAGTCTGGGACCAGGACCCTTGGTTGATACTGTGAACGTTGCAGGCTGCTGCTCAAGGGGAGGGGGCTGGGCTCCCGAGTTCTGGATCTTTTTCAGCTTTTGGGTTCCCTGTAGCTTCTGGAACTGATTATTTTTATTTCTTTAATTTCTCCCTGTCATCAGTAAAGAGGGAGGGCCATGCGCATTGTTTGTTTTCAGGACAGAAACAGTGTTGAAAGCCGAGAAACTTTTAAGTTGGAAAAGGTGAGCGCTATCTTGCCGGCCATCCATCTGGAGCCAGTGGGTGCCCCCTTCAGTCCCTTTCAGAATCACCAGCTAGAGTTGAGCTTGCCCCTGCAGCCCATGCTTTCTCCCTCAAGCAACTCAGAGCCGTCGTTAGTACAGCGGTAAAGGGCCGGAGAGTAAATATTGTCCAGGGGAGAGAGCACGTCTGAGCTCACCAGACACTGCCCGTCTTGAAGCACACACTTAGGAATAATACCAGGACGCCCACAGCCCCGGGTGTCTGTCTGCATGTATGCACAGCATAGAGATTTTGCTGGGATGTGTTTGAGAACCAAACTTTGCCTTTAAGCAGGAAGGTACAGAGGCCTGGTGGTGCTGAGCAGAGAGGGATGAGGGAAAAGGCAGCCTTCCCCCCGGCCCCCCCAGCGACCGTGCCTGTGGGACAGGGATGCCTAGGTTGGCCGCATCCAGTGAACAGAGGACCGGAGAGCAGCCGTGATAGACTGGGGTGGGCACCAGGGTCGAGGGGAGGCTGGGCTGTGCCTCCACTTTGCACACAGCTGGATGCAATTATGCCTCTGGTTTCAGCTGGCCTGCTCCCCCTCCGTGTTGCCACACCGCCCCCTTCCCTCCAGCAAACCAACCGACCAACCAACTGAAGACGGTGCTTCATCTTGAGTTGAAAACGTGTATACCCCTCCCCTGCTCCCCAGTAGGGAAAGATTATTTTTGTCCTTTTTTTCGCCAGTGACAGACATGAGTGAGCCAGGTTTGCGCTGGTTAAACTTCTCTAACAGGGTAGGGACAGGGGCAAAGATGCAGACCAGCACCCAGGAGGTGGGAGCCAGCGGGGAGAGGACATGGGCTCAGGGTGTCTCGATCTGAGCATCCACTTTTCTCTCTCCTCCCCGGCAGAGAAGAGACAGGACAACGGACGGGTGTATTACGTGAACCACAACACACGCACGACCCAGTGGGAAGACCCTCGCACCCAGGGGTGAGGACTTAGGCCGGGAGGGCTCTGGGTGGGCCCTGTGCACCTCTGTTGGCCTGGTGGCCTCGCACCGTTCTGGGACCTTTAAGCACACACAAGTGCCCCAGACCCTCAAGACAGAGTGAGAGCTTGAAGGTGGCATTGTATGTTGGCCTTCCTCGTGGCTGCTGCGTGGCCTGACTGGCCGGCGTTGCTGGCCTCTGCTGTACAAGCCGCTGATGAAGTGATTTCAGAAGAGTTACGTGAGAACTCCCACCGACCCCGACACTCCTTCACTACCCACCCCCCAGAAGCTAGTCTGGGATGGGGCACTTGATGTCCTGGGATTGCTGGTGGCCACTCAGGCCACGGTCATTCACCCAGGGCGGGGATTCTTTGGCCTTGGGACAGTAAATGACCTCTCCGCTGCAGACCTTGGGTATTGCCAAGTACATTTCCTTGAGGCCTCTGCGGGGTCTGGGTAAAAGCAGAGAGAAGGCAGCTCCAGCCTTCTGGGGACCCCAGCCCCCTTAGCATGGAAGCCCAGAAGGTGAGATATGAGGCCAGCCTGCAGCCCCTCTCTTGCCATGTTTCCAGGATGATCCAGGAGCCGGCTCTGCCCCCAGGGTGGGAAATGAAGTACACCAGCGAGGGGGTGCGCTACTTCGTGGACCACAACACCCGCACCACCACCTTTAAGGATCCTCGCCCGGGGTTTGAGTCAGGGTAAGGACTTTGCATGTAGGGCTTCCCAGGTGGCGCTAGCGGTAAAGAGTCTGTCTACCAGCATAGGAGATGAAAGAGACATGGGTTCAATCCCTGGGTCAGGAAGATCCCCTGGAGAAGGACATGGCAACCCACTCCAGTATTCTTGCCTGTAAAATCCCATGGACAGAGGAGCCTGGCGGACTGCAGTCCATGGGGTCACAGGACTGAGCGCCTGAGCACCAGTGGACTTTGCGCAGGTGACGTCACTGTTAGCACAGGCCTAGTATAGCTGCCCTTACCACCCTCTAGTGGCCAGTTTTGATGCCACGCCAGTAGGGATGGGGAGGGAAGGGGCTTCTCTGTTGAGGCTAACACTGGTGGTCTTTCCCTAAAAGCAAGAGGTCTGGCTTTATTTCTAAATTTTCTTTTTAAACTTCAAGTCTGCAGAAGATCTTAGTGGCAGTCCCTTCCTTTCTTTTATGCGTCATTTTACTCATCTCTAAATTAACAGAGCAGTAGCTTTCCTTAGGGCTAATATGTTGTCAAGTTTTGAGAAATCTCGTGGATTCCAGAACATCTTTGCTTTTCCCAGGACGAAGCAAGGTTCCCCTGGTGCCTACGACCGAAGTTTTCGGTGGAAGTATCACCAATTCCGTTTCCTCTGCCATGTGAGTTCTAGTACTGGGGCCTCCCCCTGGAGATTGGGGTTACAGAGTCATTTCAGCAATTTCCTAGCCTAGTTGCAGGCGTTGGACTGCCTGTGTCTTAGGTGGGAGCAGGTCACTTGTCTCACTGTGACATTGTCTTCCATTCCTAGGGGACCAAGTTCTCCCCCCCAAACTTGGGGGTGGGGGGTAGGGGAAGCGTATTCAACAGACAAGTGGTCAGATTAAATAGTTACCACCAATGCCCCAATTTGAGGTCTCTGTTTTCCTTTTCTTTTCAGTCAAATGCTCTCCCCAGCCATGTGAAGATCAGTGTTTCCAGGCAGACACTTTTTGAGGATTCTTTCCAGCAGGTTAGAGAATAATCATCGAGTCTAAGACCCGGGGCAGGGAGAGGGCCCTCTGCTACCACTCTGTCTTCTCTGGTGTGGCCCTTTAAGCCCACATGATACGGTTTTCAAGACCTGGGCCTTGGTTATGGGGGATCAGCCAAAGAGCAGGCCTGGGAGTCCCTGGTCGTCTGCCCCCAGCCTGCCATGGAAGGGAGAGTGGCAGGCTGGCTACGACCCTCTGTCTCCCCAGATCATGAATATGAAGCCCTACGACCTGCGCCGCCGGCTCTACATCATCATGCGTGGCGAGGAGGGCCTGGACTATGGGGGCATCGCCAGGTGAGCTGGGAGCCCTGGGACGCTGTGCTGCACCCCGCTTCCCCAGGCTGCAGGGCACCTGGCCAGGAAGCTGCCTCCTTCTTGCTCAGACAGTTGCCAAAGCTCTCCTGCACCTTCAGGAGTGGGCAGGGGTGTGGCTGGTCCGAAGGGGCGCCGAAACTGGGTCCTGGGGTCCCCTTCTGGGCTAGGCATCAACCCTCTAGTTGCTGGGTCAAGGGGAGGCTGGGTCGGGGGGTGGTTTCTAGGGGAGGGGTTCAGGATGATGGCTCTTTTTTAAAACAATTTTTAAATTTTGTATTGAGGTATAGTCAGTTAACAAACTGTTGTGATAATTTTAGGTGAACAGTAAAGGGACTCAGCTGTCCATATACGTGTATCCATTTTCCCCCAAACCCCCCTCCCGTCCAGGCTGCCACGTAACATTTGCAGAGTTCCCTGTGCTGTACAGTAGGTCCTTGTTGAGAACAATGGCTCTTTACCAACCAACCTGTCATTATTTCTTACCCCATCTAGTTGCACCAGTGGGCAGTAGTTAGATATCGGTATTAAGTGGTTGTCCATTGGAATCAACCCCGGGCTTCACTTCCTCTGGGGGCAGCTGGGGCGGGTTCAGTTGGGGGTCTTGGCGCAGATCTGGCGTATATAAGCTGTATCCCATTCCAAAGGGTATTGATCAATAGTCAGCTGCTTGTCATGTGCACACTGACAATAAAATGAAAACAAACGCTATACTCCTAAAAAGAACTCAAAGCATTGTCCTGCCCTCACCCCAGTCCTGCTACAAAAGTTAATAGATTCTCTGGCAAAAATGTTGCCATGGACGATGGGGCGTAGGGGCCCCGGCAGAGAGGAGGAGCATCTTGGCTGCGGTGACCGTTCAGCCTGCTGACCTCTCTCGGTGTGGGGACGTCGTCTCGCTTGGTGTTGGGATAACTTGCTCCTGGTCCTGTGTGTGCTGGTGGCGTTGCCCTCTCTGCTGGCCCCCGTGGGTCGACTGCTCTCTTCTCCCGTGGTGACCTCCTCTCTAGGCGCTCCTTGGTGGTGTGGCTCCCGCCCCGTGTGTGTCTGTCTCTCTGTGTCCTGCCAGTGGTTTTACCCTATGGTAGGTTACATCATGCTGTTCTACCACAGGGTAGAACCACGGACAGGATACCGGGGCACCCTCTGCATCGAAGAGCCTCCTCGTCTGCCCGGCCACAAACAGCCCAGCAGCCAGGGACTGGCCCCCATTGGGACGTTCCCCTGCTGGTGTAGCTCAAGCCTCAAAGGACTCTGAATTCTGGCTTGAGGCTTGTACCTAGGGCGCAAAGAGATGCTAAGGTGTGGGCGTTGGTTGAGATGAATTCGTGGACATATTGGGAAGGGTATGGTGGTGGGTCTGGGCTGAAGGGCTGGTGGGAGTGAGGTATAGACACAGCCTGATGAACAGAATTGTCCTGTGTCAAGGACTGGCAACACATTACTGTGTATTCATATTAGACTGCTTAGGTAGGGTGGAAGAAGGGTGACTGCTGGTCATAGAGCCCCTTTGTAAGATTTAGAAAAAAATGTCCTTTCTCAAGATACTTCTGTGTTGGAAAATGGTCACAATATACGGGTTTTATTAGGAAAAAGAAAAAAAGGCAGCTTGATGCTATTTGCAGAAAATTTGTTGTGATAAATGTACACATCTATATTTTAACGTCATGTCCTTGTGCAGTGCACAGTCTACACAACTGTGCATGGCAGCCCAGAATGCAAGGAGCCCGTTTGCTGTTAGATGCTCCGGATATCAGATGGAAAGCCCCAGAATACAGCACCTGGAGCCAACACTCACGCACACGGGTTTGCCTGAGCACTGTTGTCAAGTGCAGTTGTTGTTCTGATTCACCCTAGGTCTGACCCTGCCCTGTTCACTGACCAGCTGTTCACAGAGGTTAGCCCAGGGCTGATCCCAGTGGGGCTGCCTCCCCAGGATGCATGTCTCCAGACTATGTACTGTTTGATGGCAGAAGAGACTCGTGCCTACAGAGCAGGCGAGCAGGATGCGATCCATTAGTCCTGTTTTCCTCTCTCTTCTCTCACAGAGAGTGGTTTTTCCTCCTGTCCCACGAGGTGCTCAACCCCATGTACTGTTTATTTGAATACGCCGGGAAGAACAACTACTGCCTGCAGATCAACCCTGCCTCCTCCATCAACCCCGACCACCTCACTTATTTCCGCTTTATCGGCCGATTCATCGCCATGGTAAGATTCGCTGTCACCAGACCTCCAGGGAGTGTGGTCACAGACCTGTAGACCACCAGCAGCTCTGAAGGCTGGGTGCCCACTCTCTGAGCTCTACCCTCATCCTTACAGAACTCCTTACTAAAGATGCAGAAAATATGAGAGTTCTGGAAATAGTCCAGAGCTCTCTCAGGGCCCACCCTAGGACACTGAGGAGGTCTTCACGTTGATTGTGTAGGACTTGTCAAGAGAAAGCCCAGGGTCCCCGGATCAAAGTCTTCCCTTAACACTCACTGCATGCGCTGTCAAGGGTGGGGGTGACGGGCCCATCTCTGGGTGTTGCTGTGAGCTGGGTGGTGGTGTCTGGGAGTGTCCGACTGAGACGTGGGCCTTCTGGAAGGGGATGGGGAATCTACACTAGCTGAGAATAGGTAGTTCTCAGGTTGATTGACTGGTGCAAGATGCTGGAGTCATCTGGCAGGAGAAGGGAGGAGCAGGGAATGGGGAGTCAGGCGTTTGTATTTATGTAGAAATGGGAGTACAGTGTAAATTTGGAAAGGGCATCACCTCATGTGCATTCTTTTGAGTACCTCGAGACCCCGGATGGAGAAAGGGGAGCCCATGGAAGTCCCAGTCCCTCTGCCACATTTGATCATTGGAGAGCTTTCACTGCTAATTTGCCTTTGCTTCTTCCCCTGACTTCCTGAGTGAGTGTCTGCCCTGCTCCCCTCTCAGGAGGACCCAGGAGCCCATGACTAAGTATGTCCCTTCCCTTTGTCTGGAGGTTCTTGGCCAAGGTGCTTGGGCTCAGGAAGTGGGCACATTCTTCCCGGGTCTAGAGACCCGCCTGGCCCTGTGGCTGACAGGACAGACCAGTAAAACCCTAGACTATTACTCACCGCTGGCCCGCCAGCAGCAGCAGGGGCGTCTGCATTATTTTTGGCTGCCTCTGCTGCCCAGCTCTGAGCAGCAGTGAGTCAGGGCTGCCACCTGGGGCTGTGCTGAGCGAGTCTCCTCTGTGTGCGTGCGGCAGACTTCTGCTAGAGCGGGGGGCTGGTGGGCATGCAGTGGGCCAGGGGTGGGTCCTTGTGGTCTGCAGGTGGGACCAAGAGGGCTACAGACCTAGCCTTCAGGCCCCTGGGGGAGCTGGACGCTCAGGACTGCAGGGAGCAGTAGCCGGGCTCTGATATGGGGCATCCGAGGAAAACCAGACCTCTCTGCCGTGTCTCTTCTGTCCCCAGGCTCTGTACCATGGAAAGTTCATTGATACAGGCTTCACACTCCCTTTCTACAAGCGGATGCTAAACAAGAGACCGACCCTGAAAGACCTGGAATCCATTGACCCTGAATTCTACAACTCTATCGTCTGGATCAAGTGGGTCCCCTCTGTTGCCCTGTGCTGGGAGAGGAGGGGTCTCTGGGTGGGTGGTAGGTGGGTGAAGAGGCCCAGCTTCTGGGTCCCCCTGTCCTGGGATCCCGTTCTGGGCTCTAGGCCACCTGTGAGTCCTTGTGTCCCACGCACACTGAGAGTGAGTGATGGGGCAGGACCAAGGGAAGACCCTTCTAAGGCAGACACCTTCCCTGTTGGTCTCTTGTGCCCCCAGAGAGAACAACCTGGAGGAGTGCGGCCTAGAGCTGTACTTCATCCAGGACATGGAGATCCTGGGCAAAGTGACAACCCACGAGCTGAAGGAAGGTGGAGAGAGCATCCGAGTGACGGAGGAGAACAAGGAAGAGTACATCATGTGAGTCTAAAGTGCTAGGGAGCCGGGGGCCCGGGAAGTGGGGGCAGAGACACAGCCGGCCGCAGAGAAAGAGGCTCACCCTCTTACCCCAGGGTACCGTCTTCAGCCACGCCCCCTCGTGGGGCCCGTGGGTCTCCAGCGATGGGAAGAACCTTCCGTTTTGCACTGACCTTCCATGGCTGCCGTAGCCAGTCATGTGCTGGCCAGAGCCGGGTGGCCAGAGCCCGAGGCCCTCTGTTGCAGCCTCTTAGGTGCTCCTTGTTCTCAAGCTGTAGATTCATGACCGCAGGACAGAATTTCTTTTAAGAGGCATATAAGTTCGACGACTCCTTCTTTGTTCTCCTAACTGAAAGGGCATCTATGTCTGTGCCTGCTTAAACCCACTGTCACCCGTGGGATTGTACACGAACATGCCCGTTCACTTCAGGTCCGTTGGGCTAGTCTTTTAACCCCCATTCATCTGAGCTTCAGTCAGCGGCGATGGGAGGAGCAGGAGGAGGAGATTTTGAAGATTCAAGTGTCTGCGGGTTACTGTAAGGTTTTAAAGGCCGTGCTCTGGGGCCGAAGTTGCCCAGATGTCCCGCCCGCCCAGGTCGACTCTCGGCTGCCTCCTTGCTGCCAACAGTGGCCACCTCCCGGCAGACCCTGAGCTGCTCCAGAGGAGTGGGTCTCGGGCTCCACCGATGGTCAGTCTTGGTTTCAGGCTGCTGACCGACTGGCGTTTCACACGGGGTGTGGAAGAGCAGACCAAAGCCTTCCTGGACGGCTTCAACGAGGTGGCCCCCCTGGAGTGGTTGCGCTACTTTGACGAGAAAGAGCTGGAGGTGAGAGCTGAGGTGTGGGGATCCTGAGCCCCAGCCCCTGGGGCTGTCCTGCCCTTTGACAGCCTCGCTGAGCACCCACAGCGACTTACCAGTAAAACCCCAGGCTCTCCCAGGAGGGTAGCAGCAGGCAAATATGGTTAATTTGGGTCTTGCATCTGCCCTTACCTGGACTCTTGTTTGCAAGGGGTCGTCATTGCAAGACTTGTGCTTCCCATACTGTTAAAACTGCCGACAGAGATGTGTGGGGTGCTTCCACCTGCCAGGGAGCAGACGGCCCTGTGTGCCATGGGGACGGGGCTGGTGCTGGGTGCCTGACACCCTCTCTCTCCTCTGTAGCTGATGCTGTGCGGCATGCAGGAGATAGACATGAGTGACTGGCAGAAGAACACCATCTACCGGCACTATACCAAGAACAGCAAGCAGATCCAGTGGTTCTGGCAGGTGGGCCCTGGGTCTGGTCCCCGCAGTAAGAGCAGGGGCTCTGGGCAGGCATGTTTGGGTGGTATCCCCGGAAGCGGACCAGATTGAACCCCAAGCTCTGGGACACTTGATGTGCCATCACCTTCCTCGTCTTTGACACTCTCCTCACTTCCCCCAACTCCCAAAAGGATATGAGGAACCCAGCCTTGGGACGATAGGAGCTGGGTTGCGGCCACTGCATTCGACAGGAGGTGTTTTTGGCAGTGGGCCAGCCTCAGATGCTGGTGTTCGGACTGGTGCGGAGGGGGCCGTGAGCAGGGAGGGAAGTTCTTGTAGGTCACGTGGTCTCCCTCCAGCCAGGTGGGACGGAAAGCGTGGGCTCGGCTCCAGAGAGACTGAAAGAGCTCCTTGTCCTGCATATAAGGAATCAGTTGCTTTGTATGTGCGGGTCTTGTCGTTATCATTGTGCAGTATAGCATACATAAAAAAGAATGAGCAGAGGTAGGTTTTCTGTGGAGGTGACGTTCACATACCATAAAATTCGCCATATTAAGTGTTTGGAGTGGCTCTTACAATGGCTTCTGACAGTGTTGTACGCACCATCACCACTGTTGAATTCCAGCGCATTTCATTTCCCTCAAAAAGAAATCTCACACCTATTAAAGCAGTCACTCTCATCCTTAGTATGTTTTTAAAGGTGGAACTTGGGGGACCTTCCCTTGTGGTCCAGTGGTTGAGCGCCCACCTTACGGTGTGGGGGACGCTGGTTCCACCCCTGGTGTGGGCGCTGAGACCCTGCGTGCTGCCGGGCAACTAAGCCCCCCAGCCACAGCTGGAGAGCCCACGTGCCACAGCGAGATCCTGCGTGAGGCAACCAAGACCCGATGTAGCTAAATAAATACATATTTTTTTAAAGAATGGAACTTGGATGAAGAGGAGAATTTCTGGCCTGAGACCAAGAGACGTCACATAGACTGGTGGGAATGATGTACACACACAGCCTCTTAGAGCGGCTTTGGGGTTTCCCAGGGAGTAATGTCACCCACCCCCACATACCACACCAGGTCTCCATGTTCTCAGTCCCAGAGAGGGGCCCTGGCTCATTGCAGAGTTACAGGTCAGGGCAAAGTGCTGGTCCGAGTGGCCCTGACTCTGCCTGGGCTCTCGGGGCTCCAGGTGGTGAAGGAGATGGACAACGAGAAGAGGATCCGGCTGCTGCAGTTTGTCACTGGGACCTGCCGCCTGCCCGTTGGGGGATTCACCGAACTCATCGGTATGTTATCCCTGTCCTGCTGGTGCCGTTGGGTGGAGGTGAGGACAGCTCAAAGCAGGGGCAAGACCTCATGTCTTCCTGGAAGCAAGTCAGTGGGAAGCTGTCTTTGGTGGCATCGGAGGGTCCTGCCTCAGGAAGGGGCTGACTTGTCATAGACAACATGTGTTCCTTGGGATAACAGGTAGCAACGGCCCACAGAAGTTTTGCATTGACAAGGTTGGCAAGGAGACCTGGCTGCCCAGGAGCCACACCTGGTGAGTGTGCTGGTTGTTGGGGGAGGTGGTTGGAACCCGAGACCCGATGAGCCCCCAAGAGCAACCCTGTGGGCAGGGCGGCTTCAGCGCCTTGATCCTGGCAACTTGTGTGTAGTTATGTGGTGCTTAGGTTTGGGGAGGTAGGGCTGAGGTGTGCCTGGGCCTCCGATCTTTTGGGAGTTGTGACAGTATCTGTGTGCCCTGATAGCCATACCAGGTATGAAATACAGTAAGTCCCCTACATACGAACCTTCAACTTGTGAACTTTCAAAGATGCGAACATGAGTTCGTGTGTCTGGTCATGTAACTTCGCTCACTTATCTGGCGTACATTGTCACGTGTATACATCCTCTACAAATGGAGGAAATGGCAAGGAGATTTCTTTAGCTGAGGAGGCACCGTTAGTTTTTGAGGTATAGGACCCAAATGTAGAATGGTATGTGAAGGTTGCAGCAGCCGTTCAGAATGTAATCCAGTGCTACCATGTCACCTATGATGAGGAAAAAAAGAGCTACCACCCAGACATCACTGGGTCATTTTTTTTCAAGAGGGTAGATAGAGTTGAATCCAGCAAGGAACCAGAACCTGTGACATCAATGTCAGGAGTGCAGCTTGCCCGCCATCTCCTATTGCTGATAATCCTTTAGCTGTACGTCTTCCTCCTCCAATCAGTAACCCTTCTTGCCTGTTCACTGGATGCCAAGCCCCTGTATTCCAGCTATTGTACTGTATTTTTCAAAGCTCTGTATTGTAAGATTAAAATTGTTTTTTTTAATGTATTATTTGTATGAAAAGTATTATAAATGTATTACAGTATGAATTTGAGCAAACTCTGGGAGATAGTGAAGGACAGGGAAGGCTAGCATGCTACAGTTCATGCGTGGCGTTGCAAAGAGTCAGACACGACCTAATGACTGAAGAACAACAACTGGATAGCTGACTGTGTTAGTTGAGTACCTAGGCTAACTTTATTGGACTTAAGAACAAATTGGACTTACAGACATGCTGTTGGAATGGAACTCGTTCGTATGTAGGGAACTTGCTGTATTGAGGCACTCCTATTCCAGTCGGCAAAGAGCTGCTGTCCCCGGTCTTCTTCTGCAGTTCCGCGTTTCCCCTGTAGCCCTGTCCCCTCCTCTAACCCCGTTGTGGTCCAGGGACACAGCAGGGCCCTTGAGGACCCTGTTGTGGTGTGTGGCCAGCCGGCATCGTGGTTGAGTCACAGTATGGGATCTCTGTGGCTGTTAGAGCTCTGACCCGTGCCCCATGCTGACTGCCCTGTTCTCCTTTCTTGACAGTTTCAACCGGCTGGACCTGCCGCCATACAAGAGCTATGAACAGCTGAAGGAGAAGCTGCTGTACGCTGTTGAGGAGACCGAGGGCTTTGGGCAGGAGTAACTGAGGCTGTCCCCCACCCCCAAACCCCAGCACACGTGTAGTCTTGAGTCCTCCCTGCCTGAGAGGCCGCTGGCCACGGAGCCCCTGGGAGGCCCCTGCAGATGGGAGTCCCGCGTGGGACCGCACTGTCATCAGGCTGGTGGCAGCAGGGCCTGACCTCAAGAGGCCCTGCCCTGCCCTTCTCTCCTCCCGACCGGTGGCAGTCTGGAATAAAGCCCCCGTGTCACCCTTGGCCCCATCAGCCATTGCAACGTCTGGAGGGCTGACCCTCTCTGCAAAGCTCATCCTCCTTCTCCCTTGAGACCAACCCTAGGTTTGTGTGCGTGTGCAAGGGCGGGTGCCCTGTGCTGAAGCCCTGGGCCTCACAGGCTGGTTAGGTGAGAGGGAGACTGGCCATTTGGGGTAGCTGTTCTCGGCTGAGGAAGCCCAGGGTCTTTGCCAGTAAAAGAGGTTCTATTTTGTATAGAACTTTTCAGTGATCTATATAAATGAAGGTCTGAGGGAGGGGAGCTCTGGACCAAGGAGGCTGAGCAGCACAGCCCCGCCCTCCACTCAGTGCTGGCCAGTCTGTTCCCTCCAGCAGATGAAGGGTCATTACCAGCTGCTTGGATGTCAGGGGGATGGAAACCCCCCTCAGATTTTCTTTTCCCTTTTGCATAAACTTGAAGCATTTTGCGGGTAGGGCTGCTTTGTATTCTGTGGCTGGCGTGCTGCTGGCACTTCCTGTCAAGGAGCTGGTGCGCCAGGCGTGGCTGGGACCCAGGGGCGCCCAGCACTGTTGGTCTAAGAATTTCCCGAACAGCTGCTCCTCCTGGGAGCCTGCTTTGCAGTTCTGTGGGCGCGGGCAGGCCTGACCCAGTGGCTCCACTTCCCAACAGCCTTGTCCCCGAGCCTTTGACAGAGAAGGGGGGGAAGGGGATTATTGTCCTGAGTGTCACCCCAACCTCGCTTCCTCCAATAAAGGAGAACTCCCTTTGCTAGATGGAGTGATGGGGTGCGTGGGGCTGACGGGCTAAGACCCTGGACCTCCAGGAGGCCCATGCATCCGGGTGGAGAATGAAGTGTGTTCCCGCCGCTGTAGAGTGTGTTCACTCTGTCTCGAAGTGTGGCTTTCCCTGCACAAAAGAGATGATGCTCTTGGAAACCAGCAGAAGGGCCCTGAGCTGCTGTGCACAGTCTAACTTGATTGCTGGAGCTCCTGCCGACCTCTGCCGTGGGCATCCCGCTGTGTGTTCAGATCTTCCAGGCGAACACACTCCTCTGGGATGCTGGAGTAGTGATTGTCACTGGGTCCCCTTACAGGTCCTCAGACCACCCACAGGGTTGTCTGAGTTAGCCTTGTGCCCTCAGGTCCTTGTCCTGCCCCCTGCCACCCTGGCCCATGTCTGCTCTGTTGTATGTACTGATTCGAGCGGCTCAGCTCACCGCAGCCCAACCTCCTTCTTCCCTTGGATCATTGGCTGTGCTTCCCTGCGGTGTCTCACCATGTTGGGGATTGGGGCGCAAGCCACCACGCCATGCAGGGTTTGGGAGCCTCAGGCTCATGGGCGTGCCGAGTGCGTTCATGTGGGTGTGTGTGTGTACATACGTGTATATAACTGAGGTGTCTGTACGGAATGCCCTTTGGTAGCTCTGAGTTGGTCACCGGATTGTTTTGTAATGCCCACCCCCTTGCCTTGGTATTGCCAGTTTCTTGTGCAATAAACAATCAGCAGCTGTGGGCAGTGTTGGCGTGGATATGTCCAAAGTCACTGTCCTCCAGACAAAAGGTCTCTGGGCCCCACAGACCCTCCAGGTCCACACAGGGGTGGAAATGCTGTGACCTTGCTGGTTTTGAGAATTGTGTGTCATTAACCAAGACAGCCACACTTCTGATGGGTGGCCCAGTCTTCATCCAAGGATCGGGGGCTTCAGCCCTCATTCATTTGCCTCCTGGCCACCTTTGGCCTGGGTTTCTCTGAGCAGTTGCCATGGCGCCAGAGCATCAACAGCCTGAGGCTGCAAGTTGACAGATTTTAGGAACCAGATCCTGGTAGCCATTCATTTGAGAAACATTTCCTGTTTTCATGAAATCTGTGATAATAGAGGGAGGGATACCCTGGACTTGAGCTCATGGTCAGCCAGGGGCTTGCCACCCACTTTTTTGAACTTAAAGGTTCTGATGGGACCCATCAGTGCAGTCTTGATGCTTTTGACATGGAAGTGATTTTGTCCTGGATCAAGCCTTGCTCTGATCTGGCTTCTTTCTGGGGTGGGGTGGGGTGGGGGGAGGCAGAAGTGTGCAGAGCATCTTCTCCTGGGAGTTCATCAACTGAAGTCACTACCCCCAACACCAAAGTCATTTCTCACTTGACAGGGCTATGCTGTACTTTGAGGAGGTTTTGACAAAAGTTCACATGTTATACAGACGTCTCAATAAATACAAATAAAACATCTCTAGTCAAGATTGTTCTCCCCTTTCCTATCTCCCAAAGTAGCTGCTGTTCAGTTTGCTGTCCTTCCAGACTATTTTATGTGTATAAATCATATGTACATACAATTTAAAAGTATATAAGAAATGAGATCTTACACATGTTAAGCAGCTCATCTCATTAAATGATACAGGGGCACCTTTCCGCGTTTGTCAGCCTAGGTCCAGTGAATCCTTTAGTGTGTGATATTCCATGTCATGGTTGTTCTGTAACACACCCACCTTTGTCCTAATGGGCACTGCATTTGTGTCCAACAGCCTCTCGGCCAGGTCTTGTGCACCTTTTCTGGAAGGGGGCAGTCCTAGAGTTGGACTACTGAGTACAAATTTTAAAAGGGTTTAAAATGCCAGGTTAGGAAGGGTTCACAGTGAAAGCCTGCCTCTTTTGTTCCTCGGGCATTCTGATCACCATCTGGAGGCAGCTATTGTTGCTGGTTTCTTTTGGATTCTTCCAGATAGACTTTAAAATCCCAGCAAATTCTACTCAGTTGCCCTTCAGAAAGGTTCTTGTTTTAACAGCCTTAGCAGTGGACAGGACCCCTTGCCACCCCACTCTGGGAAATGGATCTGTGAGCTCCCCTGTCTATTCTTCCAGCCCTTCTTTCACTTTTCCAACTCCTAACTCTGGGCATCTTCCCTCTTACTTTTACATGATCAAAGTTGTTTGTTTGTTTGTTTTTAAACACTTATGTTCTATTCTGTAACCATAATGCTCTACTTTTTCTAAAGGTATATTTAGAAAACTGAAAAGCAAGAAAAATGTTAATATTACTATAATGATATAAATGCTGTTTACTCCAGAACTAAATGGTGTAATGTAATACAACTATGTATTCTTCATACAGCTCTTTAACCTTAGGGTTTCTAATTACTGATCTTTGCTTCTATTATATCCTCATTTTTTTTCTTTTCTCTGAAGTGTTTCAAGTTAAATTAGACAGTCAGGAAGGGTCCCCACCTCTACAAGCTGTAATAAGTCCCTGATAAATTAGCCAAAGCTACAGAATTATTTTGGAAGTGAAGAGTAGATCTGACTCTGTTTGTCCCCCAAAGTCCTTAGTGGGGCTCAAGATTTACATAAGTAAGAACTCACTGGATTTGGAAAGCTCAGCTGTTGCTCCCCCACTCTCCTTCTATATCAGGGCTCATGGCAACATTCTAGAAAAACTTACACTAAAGACCTATGTGCTTCCATTCAGGGGAATGCTTATAAACAGCAGGCTGTTCTTGGTCTTGAGCTAAACTTAGCAACAAGGCCCCAGTCTCATCTTGGGGAAGAAAATTGAGTCAGTGCTCAGAATTATTACCTCAACTCAGTTCCCAGCAGTCTCCCCCATGAATCTTTTTCTCCAGGTCCCTCTGATTCTGAGGTTGGTTCAAATTCCACAGTCACAAACTCACTTTCCTATGGTCCATGCTGTGAGTCAAGCACCAATCAGCTGACTCAGAGAGGTGCACGTGATTTATCTTTGGCATGCTATCTGTCATTTGTACCTTATGAACATCATCCTGGACTCAGGGCCTCGCTTCTACTCAGTCGGTCCCGGTGACAGTGATCACTGTTTTCTTTTTGATGCTTGTCACAATTTTGGCCCCTTCACCTTGACTCTCTTGTCACCTCTCCAGATGTCCTTGATGGTCTCCGTGACATCCAATCCCAACTCTAGTTCTCTTGCCCAAACACAGAATCAGCTCCTCCACTAAGAGCCCTGGTCCTTTTTGGTGTAAAATAGTACTAGAAACCAAAATGTGGGCGTTCCATCAAAATGGTACCATGAACTCATGACTTGATCAGCTTCTTGGCTTCAAAACCGTAAAATAAAAAGAGAAGACAAAATATAAAAAAGAAAAGGCTGGCTTAGAAACAAGGTAAACAAGCTCATGGGTTATAAATAAAACAAAAATGCAGAATGTTGGGCAAGATGGAACTGTTCGGGTCTGCTGCACCTAGAGCCTGGCAGTGGTCGCTGAGAGTTCAGCTGCTGTGGGGTAAAGGATCTAAGTATGCTCCAGAATAAATGGGGAGTGGGCACCAGCTGTGTACCTGATTTGGCTTTGAGAAAGATGGAGGCCCAAGGAGGAAAACCCCTTAAGCCAAACCATCCCACTGGTTGTGGTCTGGATCTGTGACATTCCCAGGTTGCTCTAGGCTAGGGCCCCAAACTGCCATTCAAAGACCAGGCTGTAGAATGGATAGACAGCAGGACAGGACGTGGCGGCTGCAAAACCATCAGACAGGAAAGAATGAGTGCAGATGGAGAAGGAGGAAAAAAACAACTCCCCTACTGAAAAATTTTGGCTCCGCATTTCTGAGAAAGACATTCATGAGTGGTCTCTTGGCTGACGGCCTTTGCTCTCAGGGCAGTAGGTGACTAGTGGACGCTTTCATGGGAGCCTTAAGTGTCATTGTCTTCTGGGGGGTGATCAGTTTCTCCAGAGATGAGTCCTCTGCACCTCACCTGAATGGGAGACTATACCTGAGTCAGGTGGCCTGCCTATAGGCTTCCTGGGAGTAAGAAGCAGGAAGGAGCCAGGGTTTTCGGAGTCCTGACCACAGACCTTTTTGTCCTCCCTGGGCTTCTGCTCTGGCTCAAGTCCCTGCAGCCAGCAGAGTGGAGGGAGCCAAACTGTACAGGGCTTCGGGGCGGGGACCCACCCTTCTGTGTAGAAACTTTTACCTACCCCAGTTTTCAACTTTCTTCCTGCCTTCCTGTTGCCCCTAAGTACTGAGTCTCTGAGGACTCGCTCATTTCCTTTCTGCATCTCCCTGTGTCTGAGGTTAAGATTTCTCCCTGGTTAGTTACACTCCTCCACGTCCAAACTCTTTGTTAAACGACCTTGTCCATTGCTGAATCCTCTAATGTTCTCTCTGCCCTTGTGGATTAAGACTTTTCATAAAGCTTTCTTCACAGTTGTTTCAGTGAGGCTGGAGAGGGAAAAGAGGCGCTTCATCTGCTGTCTCAGTTAACTTCCTCTCCTTTGATAGGTCTGCCTGTGGGCAGCTTGCAGCTGAGCACAGAGGTCCCCACGAGGGCTTGGCTGTTCTGTTATATTGACTTTCGACTAAGCTGCTGTGTTTACCCCCGTGGCACTAGCTCCAGTCTTAAGCCTGAACCTTTCCCGGCTCAGAACCCTTGTTGGCTTAGCTCCTGCCGTGTGATTTCGAGGCTGGGGCCCCTGCTGCTTGGTCACTACTCCTAATTTCCTCCTTCCAGAAATGTGTTTAATTCCCTCCTCCACCTCTCATTTGCTGCCTCTCAAATTGGGTCACTTGGCAAGGGGAAAAGACGAAACATTTGACATACATTCACTCTCGTTTTAGTACAGTCTCGGGAGGGAGGAAGGATAAATATTAATACATATATGTCAGAACTTTTTTCCTGTTTATTTTTTTAATTGGAGGATTGTTGTTAACTGGAGGACATTGTTACAATGTCATGTTCATTTCTGCTGTACAACAATGTGAGTCTGCCATGCACACACATACATCCCTTCCCTTCTGAGCCTCTCCCCCATCCTGCTCTTCTAGGTCATCACAGAGCGGGCTGAGCTCCCTGTGTTAGGCAGCAGCTTCCCGCCAGCCAGCTCTGTTACACACGAGCGTGTGTATGTCAGCGCCACTCTCTCAGTTTGTCCCACCCTCCCCTTCTCCTGCTGTGTCCACAAGTGTGTGTCTATTTCTGTCCTGCACATAATAGGTTCATTAGTACCATTTTTCTAGATTCCATATGTATGCATTAATACATGATATTTGTCTTTCTTTTTCTGACTTTACTTCACTCTGTTATGACAGACTCTAGGTTCATCAACATCTCTAAAAACAGAACTGATTTTTGCTAATCAGCCATGATTTTGCACCTTATCTTTTAAGAGCATCGACTTGGTCCCTAACTCTAGGAACCAAGAGTTATTTTGTTTTGGTTTGTTATCTCCAAAGCCCCTGGGGGCAATAGGTAGTCCTGCTTATAAACAAGAGGGATGTTTTGCTTCTGCATTTTCTATTAATATCTTTATTCTAAGGTTTTCAGTAGGCAATGAAATTTAAAATGAAAACCCTATTGTAGTCGATTGTGGATTACCCTGGTGAATTCTTATTTTTATCTGTAGGGGACAGTCTTCTTAAGTGCGCCCCCATCACCCCCTCCTGATATGCACACCTTGTGGTATAATTCCTTCTCCTTGAGTGGGAGCGGTCTAGAGACTTGCTTCTAACAAACAGAATATTGCAAAGGTGATGGGCTCTCTCTTCTGTGATTAAATTACCAGAGATTGGGACCTGCTTCTTGCTTACTGACTCTCCATTGCCTTCTTGGCTTGTGTACTTTTCTTTTTTAAAAAAAGGTATGTGTGTATTTATTTACTTATTTGACTGTGCTGGGTCTTAGTTGCGACACACAGTATCTTCGATCTCTGTTGCAGCGTGCAGGATCTTTAGTTGCGGCATGTGGGATCTAGTTCCCCGACCAGGGATTGCTCCCAAGTCCCCTGCTT